AGCCAGGAGAAATAGAGTGGAAAATGCAAAACAACGAAGTCATAAAACCTGCCAAATACTTCTCGGAATTGGAAAAGAGCATCCTGCTTGCTTTGGTAGAAAAGTACAAATATGTGCTGGAATGCAAGAAAAGCGACGCGCGAACTATATTGCACTCAAGCAGCGCACCTGGCAGGCGCTTGCGCACGAATACAACTCTCAGCCGAGCGTGTCACTGCGGGATTTGAAGCAGCTGAAGAAGTGCTGGGAGAACATCAAGGCTCGGACCAAAAAGATTATGGCCCATGAGAGGAGAGAGAAGGTGAAACGGAGCGTCAGCCCTCTTCTGAGCACCCACGTCCTGGGGAAGGAGAAGATCGCCAACATGCTGCCGGAGCAGCTGTACTTCCTGCAGAGCCCTCCTGAAGAGGAGCCCGAATACCACCCTGACAGCGCGGCCCCAGGTATTGGTTCCTGAGGCCAGCCTGCGTGTGTGTTCTCACCGGGTACCTGCTGGGCGTGTTCGTTTTACAGTCTCTTAATTCTGAGGGTGTTTATTAAAGAGAAGCGCTCATGTCAAACTTGATTCTTCCCAATTCAAAATCTGCAGGTTATACAGAACAGGCAAGTCCTAGAAGTACAGAACGACAAAAGGACTTGTTGCTATCCTTGTTCTCGAGGTCTCTCTTGCCTTTATCATGAAGAATAAAGGAAAGATAAGGGGCTATGTTAATATAGTTATGAATGAAGTACCTCAGTTGCTTATCTCAACCTATGTCATCTCTATTAAAGAGAATTTCTTTGAGGGGAAAAAAAAAAAAAAGATCCGCATATCAGTGGACCCACACAGTTCAAACCAAAGTCGTTCAAGGGTCAACTGTATTTACTTAGGATTCCCTACTAGACTCTAAGTTCCATGGGGACAGGGACCATGGATATTCACAGTGGCTGCTCTTAACCAAAGACTCGCAAAGAATGGCCTGTGTGGAAGAAGAGGTCGTATTAAAAGCCCAAATCCCAGGCGCCTGGGTGGCTCAGTTGTTTAAGCGAGTGCCTTCGGCTCAGGTCATGATCCTGGAGTCCCAGGATCCAGTCCCAGGATCGACTCCCGCATCAGGTTCCCTGCTCAGCGGGGAGTCTGCTTCTCCCTCTGACCCTCCCCCCTCTCGTGTTCTCTCCCCTCAAATAAATAAATAATACTAATAAATCTTTAAAAAAGATAAAAAATAAACCAAATCCCAATTTCTCCTAAAATGTCAGTAAATGAGGCTTCCCTAGTTAGGACCACCAGCCTGTGATATTGTGATTTATGATAAGAAATCTATATTTGATCTTCTTCCAGTTCCTGGCACAGAGCTCCTGAAACTTTTGGAGCTTCCTTCCTTCCTTCCTTCCTTCCTTCCTTTCTTCTTTCTTCTTTCTTCTTTCTTTCTTTCCTTCTTTCTAGGAAATAGAAGTATATTGAATATACCACAAGGGAGCTGAGGGCAGGACAGCAAAGGAGAGACTGTCTGCCTGGAGTTTCTTAAGTGATGAGAGCTCTGGAGGTGTCTTTGGCTATTCATAATAAGCCCCCAGATGACCACACCCATAATTGTGGGGTGTGGTAGGTACGTTGCTGGGGGGCAACCCCTCCTGCTTCCTTTCCTGCCCTGGAAGAGGATTTCTTTCATTCCAGGTGGGAGCTCTCTGGGTCCCCACAGTCAGTATGGCCCGGAAGACCTTCAGCATGGACACCAGAAGGAGCCGCTGGCAGACTGCCAGTCCCACGGGGAACTAAGTCACAGCCAGAAGATTTCCTGCCCTCTGCCCTGGAAATTATTGAGGTGTGGCTCACCTTGCAGCCCCTTCTAGAATTAAACATGTGTTCTCTTCTCAGTGGCTGGTTCTCCTTATGCCTTTTGAGGAGAAACAGCAGCTCTGATAACACACCCCCTGGAGTGACCCCTTTTCTTTTTGTCTTTTCTTTATTTTACCTCCACCAGAAGAGAGACCTTGCCTTAGAGCCGCCTGAGAGGGCACCTGGGTGGCTCAGTCGGTTAAGCGTCTGCCTTGGGCTCAGGTCATGATCCCACGTCGGGCTCCCTGCTCAGTGGGGAGTCTGCTTCTCCCTCACCCTCTGTCCCCTGCTTGTGCACTCTCTCTCTCAAATAAATAAATCTTAAAAAAAAAAAAAGAGCCTCCTAAGAGCTGAGGACCCACTTCACTTCCTGGGCTTCTCTCTATGGCTGTGTGAGAAAGTTCTAGAATGAGATGAGGAGAGAAGGGATGATGAAGTGTGATGGTTGATCTCATGTATCAGTTGGACTCGTCAAAGGATGCCCAGACTCAACGTTATTTCTAGGTGTGTCTGTGAAGGTGTCTCTGAGTGAGATCAGGATTTGAACCAGTGTACTCAGTAAAGCGGGAGGCCGTCCCTGATGTGGGTGGGCATCTTCCAGTCCGTCGAGGGCCTGAATAGAACAGAAAGGGGAGGAAGGCGGAATTGGTCCTTTTCTGCTTCCTGTCTGCCCGCTGAGCTGGGACATTGGTCTTCTCCTGCCCTTGGACCGGGCTTCACACCACCGACTCCCCTGGTTCTCAGGCCTTTGGACTCAGACTGAGTTACACCACTGTCTTTCCCGGGTCTGCAAGATGGCAGGTTGTGGATGGCTGGGTGCACGATCTTGCAGACGTCTGGCAGATCGTGGGGCTTCTCAGTCTCCATACTTGAGTGAGGCAATTTCTCATAATAAATCTTTTCATATATATATGTGTGTGTGTGTATATATATATATATATATATCCTATTGGTTCTGTTTCTCTGGAGAACCCTGATTAACGTAAGGACATTAGTCTTCATCTGAGCATCCTGACAGCCTCCAGCCGCACAACCTGCAGGGCTTTGTGAGCAGCACGGAGCAGAGAGTAGGCCTCAGGCCTCCCGGACGTGCTTGGTGATGGGGTCAAACGCAGGTGGGGCAGGGATGGGACACACAGAACCTGTGCAGGTGCAGGGACTGGCCAAGGAATGGGCCGAGGACCAGGGAGACACTGCCATACCCGCTCCCTGGGCAGACTCTTGTGAAGAGGAGAGTGGTCAGGAAGCTGGGGCCAGGCCCCTGCAGGACCCGATGGGGGAGCTACGTCTGCCACCACCTGCCCTGGGCCGCACCTGCCCCCCCGCCCAAAGTCCCTCCTGGTGCTTCTTTCTCGGAAGCTGTGAGTCACGGCTACTTCATTCTAGGAGGAAAGGGGGCTGGGTTTGGAGGGAGGGAGCGGCCGGAGCGTGGAAGGGGACAGAGTATCCCACTCACCCCAGGGCCCCAGCATTTTCTGCTGCACAAAGCAGGTGTTTTCAGCACCCTGAGGTTGTGTTCTCTCTACTGGTTCACCAGGCATGTAAATTTGGACAAGAACCATATTACTGTGGGGTTCAGCTCCCTCAGGAGGACGTTGAGGTTACCCTACCTCAGGGACCCAACCTTGCAGGCTGGCCTCCTGGGCACTGGCCCGTGAGTTTCCAGCAGGTGCTTCCTCCGCGAACGCTTCCATGGGGCCGAGGCAAGAGCCACAAAGGCAGCCATGGGACCGTTCCCCAACCGACGCGCAAACTCTAGAAAGTTCGGGATGGTGGGGGCCAGGAAGCAGGCATGCAATGGCTCCACCCCTGGGAGGGCACAGGAGGGTGCTGGCCCAGCCCTGAGAGGGCCCAGGGGCCGTGACAGCACAAGGGAGACAGAGCCCAGCACGTCTACACCATGTCCTGGACTCCTGTCCTGCTCGCACTCCTCGTCCACTGCATAGGTGAGAACACCCCAGAGCTCACCACCCCCGGCCCATCCCCTGCCCTCCTCTGCTCCAAATACCCATGTGCTTCTGTGTCCCCAGGCTGTGGCTCTCAGCCAGTGCTGAACCAGCCACCGTCCATGTCCTCGTCCCTCGGAACCACAATCCACCTGCCTTGCACCTTGAGCAGAGACCATGATGTCAGCATTTATAACATCTACTGGTACCAGCAGAGGCCCGGCCACCCTCCCAGATTCGTGCTAAGATATTTCTCCCGCTCGGACAACAACCAGGGCTTCAAGATCCCACCTCGCTTCTCCGGATCCAAAGATGTGGCCAAGAACACGGGGTATTTGAGCATCGCTGAGCTGCAGCCTGAGGATGAGGCTACGTATTACTGTGCTGTGGGAGCCCAGGGCATGGAGAAGGTGAGGGAGAAAAGGAGGGAAGAAAAGGAGCCTGCTGTTCCAGGGTCGCAGGCACCTCAGGACACACTTACCATGAACTAAAGAAAGACAAGCATGCATCCTCAGGGAGAGGTGGGTGTGGGCAAGGAGGGCCTGGGCCATGAGCTTCACAGGGCTGAGGAGAAGAGTCCTGGCTCAGCTTTTCTTGTCTGGCAGTCTTGCTTAGACCCCCCCGAAGGCCGGATTGGGGGATTAAAGTTGCTTGTGTCCTGGGCATTTGCTTTGCTGAGTTTGGGGCGCCTGGTGTGCTGAATTGTACTGGGGAGGCCCCAGATGTTCTGTGAAAGGTCAGGAGGAGTGGGCCGCACCCAAGAACCGACATAGGGTAAAGGGCCCAGGAGACTGGCTGCTCACAGTCTGCTTGGCCCCAAGCCCCTGCTCTGGGAGGTCCTACGGGGTCAGGGGCTGCACCCGGGGGACACTCCTGTTGAGGACAGGAGGCTGTATTGTGCAGGAGTTACAGGGTAAACCAGCCTCTGGGGGGGGACAGTAGGTGCCGAGTGATAGGTGGAGAGCAGGTACTCCACCTCGGTTCTACTGACATTTGAACACGGTTCTGTGTGGTGAGGCTGTCCTGTTGAGCAGCATTCCTGGCCTCTAACCTAACGGATGCCTGCTCCTTCCTGCCCCTAATTATGACAACCAAAAATGTCTCCAGACATTGCCAAACGTCCCCAAGGTGGCAAAATTACCTCGATTAAACACCATTGATGCAGGTGAAAGAAATGCATGGATTCTTCTGGGCAAGAGAGTGGCAGGAGCTGGTAAATATGTTCTATAAAGGGCCATATAGTAAATAATTTGGGCTTTTTGAGCCATGTGATCTTTGTCCCAACTGCTCAATTCTGTCCTTAAAACAACGTGACAGCGGTCACAGACAGTACGTAAATGGGTAGGCATGGCTGTGTTCCTATTTAACTTTATTACAGAAACATAGGGCTGCACCAGATATGCACGCAGCTTGCTGACCCCTGCTCCAAGGAACCCCCCTGCCACTGGGTTTCAATCAAGCCGCGCCTGGTGGGGCGATCAAGGTCAACCTTGATTCCTCCTGCCTGATAACTCCATGGAAACCTCTAGACCCATGGAAAAACCTGGAGGCAGGGGGGCGTAGCCTTGCTAACGGGCTTCTTGGGTGAAGAGGAAACAGTGGGTGTCTGCAGCCCTGACCCATTGTGCAGCACCCTGAGCCCCTAGGTGGTGGGTCAGGACGTGCCCTGCAGAAAGGGACCCCCCGGACATAAGAACCTAGGGGGGACATGCCGCATACTCAGAGAGGTGCCAGGCAGGTTATCTGTCCTGTGATCCCAAACTTGGCTGAGAACATCCATTTCCCAAGGGGTCCTCCAGAGAGGTGGGCGCATGTCAGTACTGGACCTTTCACGGGTGTAAAACAATGGTCTCAGCTCGTGCCTTGTTCTAAGTGCCCTCTGAGCTTCTACTTCCTCAAATGCACTGCGTTCTTATTATTATATTATTTTCTCATCAGTCACCAGGCCTGGACTGCCTCTTTGTCAAGTCCTTCCCTTTAGCCTGAGTCATTTCTCACCTTGACCGTTATCTGGCTTCCTGCCTGTCCCCACTGCTGCAGCCTGTGCCCTCCGTTCCGCCTCCTCATTACTCCCAGATTCAGCCTTGCCTGCATTCCCCCTCCCTAACCTTTGATTGTCTCCCACCTTCGAAGTCACCTATGCAAACCACATCTAGGGCGCCTGGGTGGCTCAGTTGGTTAAG